AGAGCTACCAACCGAACTCGATGGCACCCCAAGCGAGAGGTCATCATGGACCGTGACCCCCAACAGCCAGTGACAGCGACAGCTGTGCCAGGAAAGGCAAATATCGAAGCCGTCCCCGCGCCAAGCATTTTTTAGGCAGGGAGTAGACTTTTAGGCTTGACGGGGACACCAACTAGGATCGGTTCGGTTGTTGGCGAGATTGAAACCACTGAAGACTCCAAGTCCAAGCTGTGCAGCTCTCTGGAATTAATAATCGAAGAAGTTCAAGAACTTGTAGTGATATCATGAGCGAAATATCTCTCATCCCCTCTTCCGTTAAGTTTGTAGGTAGGGACTCGGGCTCATCCAGCCAACATCCAGCCAACATCCCGAGCCCCTCACCGACTCTCGCATGGACGTGGCGCATGGCGGGGGAGGTCAGGACGGATCCCAATCACACAACAATGGGCGATATATCCCACGCTAACAAAGCTCTGATGATATCACGGACAATCAGGAACGATCAGAACTTGAATTCTTGATCAGAATAACTGCGCCGCGATAAGAGCCGCGCAATATTGCTTACTGATGCTCTGGATAGAGGAAATACTTCCGCACAATCACGTGGGGCGATAAGGGCTGCCGGAAATATTCCGTTTTGGGACTAGCTAGCCCTAACCGTTTTGCCCTTTACGGAGTACTAGGACTGGTATATAATGCTCAAGGCGCCCTTGGCAATTGCTTGTTGCCGAGGTCAATTTGTCAAGCATATCCTTGCCTTCTTTCATAGTTTGCGGGTTTTGTTGATGATCTGTTTGATGGGACTCGTGGGAGAATGTAGAGAGCTATGCGGTGCGTATAGAAATTCAGGTGGCATCATACTTCATTGTTCTAACGTTCTGTCACTATACAGCTCATTCAACGATATTTTGATAATCGCATTACAACAGGCTGCATCCCTCCAGACTCAAAGGAATTACCAACGTACTGGACGCTGTTTTAATGGCTTGGGGGTCCAGCTAGCTACCCCTACTAGCAGTTGCAGAGTGCAATCTTGATTGAATTTCCATCTCAAACCAGAAGATGGGATCCAATATTCTTCCATCAGTTCCCCCAATTATGGGGAGTAAACTCAATAATCTTGTCGCCATCCGTTGTTCTGTTAGCAATAGCATAATAAGAAGAAGCTTAGGTGGAGGGACACATGCGTTGCTTAATATGGAATCCAGTTACCCCAACGCGCTGAATTGTTCACTCGTCCAGTTTTAACACATCTCCCATCTCTGGCACGGACTTCAGGCCGGAATTGGTCATCCCGACCTGATACAAAGTGGCTGAGGATAGTTCTAGATTAGTGCCTACTTTCGTTCGATAGGCAGCACCAGCAACAGGGCTTTCTTTATCAGGTTTTCACATTTTGTCACTCGGTATTGATATGGATATACTTCAAGTGTTTTCCCCCTCAACACAGTAACATATAGAAATATTTTATTGGAACATATATCTATCTATCTATAGCTGAATATCATTCAGCATGATAAAAAAAAAAAAAAAAAAAAAAAAAACATGATAATATCTATTAGCATCATTTGATTCATGGCATCAGGATTCAGGCAAGTGGGTTTAGCGTGCGCTGTGGGCACCACTTGACCGCTTTGACCCAAAAAAGAGAAAAAAAAAACACCGAAGTCCCTATGGTGGGATTTACAGGACATAAAAAGAAACAAAATATATTTTGTTTTACACCATGCTCTGGAGTCCAGCCGTTTTTTGTTTCGCGTACCTGCAAGCATTGCTGCTTTCCAAGGTTCTTTTTTGGCGTGCGCGTGACTTTGTTTCCGCCGAGTCACGAGGACCTTATCCCGAAAATCCCAGCAAAAAGTGTAGTGAATGGAATATGATTTAGCCAAGGGATTTGGTGGGGAATATGAATCGCGAATGAAACATTCAATAACGACATAGGCTAAAAACCGTGGGATGGGGGATTTTCCCCGCGGATAGGTTGGGAAAGGGGGAGCTCAATATGCCCCCATGAAAATGCCATACCCCAGGGAGTCCGCTATCTGCGTTGGTACAGGACAAGGTCCGAAAAGTTGCTTGGTACGCATGGAACGGTCCAAATTCTAGCGGGAACGTGTATTTGTATTATCTCGATTATCACTATTTGAGGATGGATTTTAGGGAGAGTATTCATGTAACAAAAGGAGGGGACCAACAAGATTGGGGTATATGTACTGATATACTGAAAGACAAAGGGTGAGTATGGTTAAAACAGGGACCAAGTGGAAAAGGGAATTTTTTTTCATGTGAAACCCGCGCAAGTTTAAAAAGTGAAATTTACTGAAACAAGAGGAAACAAGAAACAGTTAGAAAAAAACCTCATTATGCATAGGAAAATTTCAAGATGCAAAATGGCGCTGATTGTGACGTGCAAAATGATATCGTCAGAACACACATACCTAAAATTTGAATATATCAGACAACGGCTGCATGCAATAGAGTGGAAAAAGGAAGGCAAAGACTTGCCCAGTTGGTACAAAGTCATGCAAGATATGCAACATTAGTTTTGGTCACAAAACTCACACACCACAAGAAAAGAAAACAAAAAGAAAGTAAAGGAAAACGTCAATCCTTATTAATAACCCTCAAACTCCGCCGAGGATTCAACATCACACCCAAAAACGTCGGTTCCTGCCCCGCAAGCAGGTCATCGGTACTGCTATGTGCACTGCCAATCGCGCCAGCAAATCCGCTGGAAGGCCGAAAATCCCCCGCTGAACCACGAAAACCCGGTTGCGATGCTCCCGACCCTAAAGCGGCGGCTACATTCGACCCGGACTCGCTGAACGATGTATGCCGGCCATTGCTCTCAGTGTTCTCGGAGGAATGAAACGGGAGAAGAGCCCCGAACTTATCGCTGGTGAGCGCTATGCGGCTGCCGCTTGACGAGCGCTGGACGGCGGCGACGTGGCTCTTGTACAACGCTAGCTGACGGCGGTAGACGTAGATGCAGAACCCGAGGTAGACGGCTAAGATGAAGAGACAGCCCGCAACGACACCGGCCGCAATGGCGGCTACGTTGGGTTTGTCACGGCCGATTTCTTGGCCGGGTGGGCCGATGTGGGTGGTGACGGGACCGTCTGGATTTGTCACCGTGTATGTGATTGGTTTGCCTGTCGCGATGGGACCGTCTGTGGCTGCAGTTGCAGGCTCGGTCACGGTTGCCTTCCCCTGATCATCACCGCCGATGACCTTTTGGACAGCCTTGGGGACCTTATAGCCGTAGCTGCCACTCAGGCCCCTCATGTCGTTTTTCTGTGAGTCCTGTTGGTTTAAGTAGTTTCCTCCCTCGAGTGCAGCGTATTGGGTTTTCCACTGTAACTCAGATGCATCAAAAACGTAAACACCAGGGCTGTCACAAGTCAGATCTTGGCCCACATAGCCGCCTGTCACGATGATCTGAGAATTCCAGATATTGCACGTGTGCCCTGCACGGGCTGGGGGAACGGATTGGCCGTCCGTGTTGACTTTGATCCACGTGAAGCTGGGGATGCTGAGGATCCACATATCGTCATATTGAATCTGTTTTCCGTAGGGAATTAGGTTTTGCCCAGCATATAGATACACTTGAGTGCTGCTTCCATCAGCCGCGGATGCAGCAACTGCGCACGGATTAACTCGGATCGCAGGCGTTACTCCGCTTGTCGCTTGCTTGTACCATGTGGAAGTTTCAATATCGTAGACGTCGATGACGTTCATTTGCGTCTATTAATCACTACAGTTAGCCAGATAGGTCATAAATAGAGAAAATTATCAAAGTGGGCGGGGCCGTGCGGTATATATAACACTCACGAAAGTCGCATTTGTCCCGCCAGCAAGACCCAAAATAATTCCCTGCTTTCCAAATCCAGGTACATAAACCAAAACTCCATCAGCCCGTTCGGTAAACCCTGCAGACTCTTGGAGTCCACCCTCGGTAATATTCCGCCACGCACCATCCGCCCCGGCAGGGTTATCCCCCTTTAAGCTTTCTACTTCGTTATTCGAATAGCCAGGGAACGTATACTCGATGAACGACTTCAGATACACACGTGGGACGGAGAGATCCCACCCTTCAGTAGTGTATCCATCCAAATGTCCTCCAAAGTAGAAGCCCCTTCCCAGCTCCAGAGCTGTAATGCCCGCACCCTCTGCCGACCGCTGAACTGGCTGATCACCGACGTTGGAATTGCTTCCCTGAGACGTACGAGGGTTCTCATGTTCCTTCCAGGTAGATGATAATATGTCGTACTCCCATAAACTGAATGCCGTTGGGAATTTCCGTGGATTATCCGAAAACTCTCCGCCATATAGAAACAGAGATTCGAGGGAATTCCAAAGGTATCCGTTTGATACTGGTGGGGGGCCAGATGGTCTGGGGAGGCCGGCGAATTTGGGAGATGATATATCCCAAGTGGATTTTAAATCGAGGGTTAAAAAGTCATCATCTATTATCATCAAATGCGACAGCTATTAGAAACATTCTTGATTGAGAGGAGCTGTCCCGGAGAACGAAAACGAAGATACGTACTCCAAGTATTATCGCTTTGACTTGAATCAGTCATCGACCTTCCTCCGTAGATATACATGGTCCCATTGACCACCGCAGTCTGTTGTGACCATCGCTTACAAACATCCGTTGGAGTATCGTCCCGCTTGAGAATCCTATCTCCATCCAACTGCATATGTGATCGAGTTGGTTTCGCTGTCACACCAACCACCCCAATCCCGTAAGACCGGCCATAATCAACAATGGAATCAGCCAACAAAACTAAAGTAATTAACCGCAGCAACAATGGAGACATCGATAGATGGAAAAACAGGAAACAAGCGAGAGACATCATCTATCGTTTAGAATATAGATCGCCTGGAGGATCCTGTCGACAGGTTCCGTCCGGTTCGTAGACCAGACCTGACCTGACCAACAAGATTTTGATCCTTCCTGTCAGTTATGATCACTCGGGGGGTTAGCAGCTACTCATCGCCCAGCGCGAAGAGAATCCGAAGCTTCAAAATCCAATGATTTGGAATGAGAAAAAAGAGTTGATCATCAAAGGAAATGTCATCAAAAAGAGCAAAATCGGTAGAGTATGAATGCTGTATGTGACCCAAACAACCCACTTTTACCACTTTCGGGGAGATGTCTCACTCTCCCAGAACCGCCCGCAGGCGACAAAAGGATAAAATTTGTGCCGGGATTGGCCAGTAGCTTCAAACGGCCAAAACGCACTGACGGAGACAGTGTGATCAGGGATCAGATCATGATGTTATGGGCGTCCTTCCACGGTGCGTGAGCAAGCTGAGCAGATATTTGGAATAAGTCCAAAAATGCATTAGATCCAATATTCGTATGAACGCTCTAGTATCCCTTCCATCTCATCTGAGAACACTCCGCTGGGGGAGAAGGACAAAGTGAACGACCAGACAATCGCAGTGCGAAACGCCACCGTCAGCCTTGGCATGGATATTTTTACTCTTAACCGTTCGAATCAATTGGTTGTTTCGTCCCGCATGCTTCTGCGCTCATGCGGTGGATGAGCTGGATGAGCCAGGATGAGGCTTGTTTCTTTTTTCTTTTTCTTCGACGTCGTAACCTTGGAATGGAGGCTGATCCCAGAATGTTAGGGGGTACTACGGCTACCCTATCACGTGGCCCCCAACATATTGTATTGCTCTCGCGTAGTTAGTTTAGTAATTAACAACGAACGTTATCTGATGGGGGGATTGGATTGGGTGATTCGTACCCTCTATACCACCACGGCGCTGGTGGTGATTGAGCTCTTTTGCCTAATACGTTATCCTCCTACACAGAATAATATCACGTGATACCAACCATCAGACCTTGATACTGTTGGCCCAAGGTTGCCTATCACGGACTAGCGCACCGCACATACCTAATACAACCACTTAAGACGTCCCACAGATACTCTGGGCGACGAGGTGATTCTATGGTTTTCACATCGTAGAAATACTCGTATATAGTATGCATTGGAGTGGGATGTAGTGCTTCATATTGAGGAAACGTTATATAGCGGACAGGCTGTCAAACACTCTTCAAGAAGTTTGAATAAAAAACAAAAGATCTAGAGTTTTCCGTTGCTAAATTTCTTTTTATATATTTTCTTGCCCATCGAAACTTCCGGAGAGTATTATTGATTTGGCTTGGACAGGTCGGTAAATGTACAACATTTTCACGTATCCATGTCTCCTTGGTAGTGCTGCAACAAGAGAAAGAGAAAGGAGGATAGTCGCTGTCGCTGCGGTTCAATTTCATGCTATTTTCTGGGAGAGCGCTAGCGCTTGACAAAACCAAACCAAGCTTGCAACCTACTATCCTGAAGGTTCCGTTTTGTTTCATGGTGCTTCAAGGGACGCTGATGCTGCAGGCTCTAAGGGAGCTCCAGTGGGTTTCAACATGGCGTTGTATGAGCCGAGAAATATTTGCGTCGGAAAAAGTGGTATTGGAAATTAAATACTCCGTGCCTTTGGGGTTGTCAAGCCAAGAAGGAATTTCCCCATTTATCAACTCGTTTAAGACGGAGATCCCACCTGCTAGACTTAAGAACATTCCTACCCAGTTGGTTCCTAGACTCTAGGTTGTGCAACTAGAGTCCTTTGATATCATTGGAAATTGAAAATATGCAAAGAGTTTGAAGCGGCCGCCTTGCCGTGCTGAAGATCAACTCAGATATGGTTCGGGCAAGTATACACTTTGGTTGTTGCAAGGTCCATATCCTTAGTACAAGCTAGAGAATCGAACACAAATTTGAAGGTGCATGGCAATCACTTCCCCTGCGTACGAAGACGAAAAGCAAAGAGTCTCATCAGATTTGATATAGCCTCAGACCATGAGAACTATATCACACATGTCGTTTACGAAACCTGCATCAAAGTCCAGCGTTTCAATTCACAAAAATCCATACACGGGAGAATGGATATTCCTAAAATAGACCTTGTCAATGGCAGCACAATTCAGTTGATAGCGGCACTCAGCTTACCAGGAAGTAGAATTAGTGAAGAATTTTCTGTCCGTCTGAGCACATGATATCACCAAAACAGGTGAAAAAGATTGGTCTTTTCCTTTGTGCAAATAACATCGAAGCGGAAAGATAGGTGAGTTTACCATGAAATTACAGCGTAGACTATACGGGTTTACATAACAAAGGAAACAGTTTCGCTGCCGATATCCAGCAAAGTTTGACAAGGAAGATGAGGCGAACCCTTCCAAAGGTTATTGGAGATATCCTCATCATTCTCGATGAGCAGAATCCGAAGCCTATTGTTCAAGTTGGCTAATATGCGGTCAACTGGGAAATAACCCGAACTGCCACCGCCACATACAACGATGTCAACTTCGTCAGGAATGGTCATGGTTCCCGTGTGTAATTCTGCCAAGTATGCTGATAAGATGTACTATCAACAAGGACTGTAGGTGTGGGGTTTAGAAATGAAGATAAAGGCATCTGTGCAGCACGAACACGAGTTAAATACCGATACCACCTCTATATGCCTCCTCACAAAATGTCAATTTGGATTAAAACCCGGAGAAGGGGACAGAAATGCGATATCCGTTCCGCAGGGACAGACGCCGCACTCATTATTTTTGGGTATCGGGAGATATTTGTCCAAGGTACAGCGACCAAATCTTTGGGACAGCAGCTAGTGAGGAAGGGGAAAGCATTGGTAGAGGAGCAAATCCATATAACTTGGGCCAACACGATAGCCATGAGAACGCGAGATTCTCCACTCAAGCTCCTCACCATTGAGACTTTGAAGGGGGAGGTTCACATGGAAAAAATACATGAGGAGAGCAACACTATATATTGAAATTGGCACTAATAGAAATATTATTATGGAGACCTTCCTTTCAGGCACGTCGGCGGTAGTACGCGGACAATGCCAACGGAAGAACAAACCGGAAACGTGCGGAATTGCCCCAAGAGCTGGATGGAAATAGTCAACCACGTTGGACGATTTGTATAATTCTAGGCTTTTGTTCAAAACAGCAAGCTCTCCAAGCGTTCCTTTCGGGATGTTCTGGGAACGTGTCCAAATTTGGCAAGATTGCCTTCGTCAACAAACAATATTTTCCTTTGCTCGCCGCTCTGGAATCGTTTCATATTGTAGATTAAGATCCCTCGTCCCGTGAGTTGACAGCAACTGCTTCCGAGGAAAATTGGTAGGAATTTGCCTTGGACTGACTCAAGTGATGATGGACGGGCATGCGTAAAACGTCGCTTAAGACCTGCTGTAGGCAATCACTCTCTACTAATGAACTTTTCAGAGTCGCAAATGCCAGTTCGGCCCAGGAATGTACGAGGCCATATCAAACTTCATTGTTGTGCATATGGTGAAAGAAGGAACGAAAAGGGCTTCGTCCACTTCTGAACAAAAGGCTTGGCTCTTGTTCTATAAATCTTCTAGGCAGCAACTCTACCCTACCCCTTCCTTGATAGGAGCAATGCTTGTTGGGAGACTCCAGCGAGTCAATTTATCCTAAGGTCCTTGACATAATGGTATGGGCATCCTGAGAATTCGCAGTCACTACTGTACCTGTCCTTGAGATTGCTGACGTCGCTTCTCGAGAATGTCCCTCCGTAGCTTCTCTGCAGCCACCTCCACATCGATTATGCCGCCAACTCCTCGTTTCCAGGCATCCTCCAACCCCACAAGCTCACCCTTTGCTGTTTCCTGCCTCATTTTCCTCTCTTTATGGATAGCATCGGTAGCTTCCTTGGTTTCCTGTAGTTCCTTTTCAATCTGCCGTAGGATTTCTTCTAGTTGAGAGTTGCCAATAAGCCAAGCATTTTTCCCATGCGCATCCAGTAGAGACAGGTTCTCTTGTCTTGTGGATAGATGAGTGCTGGAGGTATATGCTCTTCGTAGTGTTTGCTGCCAGCTATCCAGAACCTGTGCAGGTTCTTTCCCTGACGCCAAGGTATCCTCTGGAGCTTCTGGAGCCTCGTATCTTGACAAGTCGATGCCGCCCGTTAGAGGCAAGTTAGCCTCTTTTCGGTCCAGCTCTTTCTGCATCAGGGTAGAGAAATGAACTTCGGGTAGAGGGGGGATGGACGGGTGGAGGCTTGATTGGTGATTGGGGTCCATTTCTGCGGATATAATTTTATCAATATTCGCACGAGCCTGCGCGGTGGGCTCATCATCAATGTCTGGCCAAGTGTTATGTTAGTAAACCTTGAAGTACAAGAGGGGATTGATCGCGACTTCGGTAACTTACATGGGAGAGAATCGTGGAATTCGTTTATAAGAGGCATTTCCCCGAAGTCTAAAATTCAATTCTGGATTGCTGAAAGCTAGGTTGTCTTTCGGTGTCTGCGAGGGCGTTGAATAACTGCTTGGTCTCTCCTGCCAAATCACATGACCTCATCAAAAATCCCCGAGGCAATCGGTACAAGGATTATAGATCGACGTCACACTCTTTAGCAATGGTTTCTCTGATGTTTTCTTTATCCTCTAGATTTACGGCAAGGCATCAAACGTATATCTAGTGGTTGCATTCCAAGTATCGGCAATTGATCCCCTAGAGCATCAGAACACGGCATACTCCCCCGTCATTTTTACAGCATCGAGACTGGGGAAATTGTGACTCAACGAGCCATTTCAAGGTTAATGACTCAACGTCCTCCCAGGACTTCATCATCCGTCACTGATCAACATTCCCTAATTTCAACCTGACCATAATGCACGAAGATGGCTGGTTATGGTGTTATAAGTTCTTACTCGCGGCATGGATTCCTGAATCCTGCAAGATTCCTACTCGGTTCCAAATCCTGCTTGGGCAGGTACTTCCATCATGTGGTCCTCGCTTCGCAGCAGACCAGACATCCTTCAACGGCAGCACCAGAACGAATGGATACTCCTGAGATTTTGCGCCGGAACATGATGGTTGCATATTCTCTCCACACGATATGGGCCAGCCATATATGAATAATTCTCATCTTGCTGTAGGACAACAACGCAGCAAATCGAACCGGAAGCCATCCGACCTTCCTGTGTTGTCATCCTGTCATACTGACATCAGAGACACTTCAACCACGACTGAAGATATTCATCCAAGATGGCACGCGGGGCAATCCTCACGGGTTTTCTGGGTTTATTAGCCTGCGTGCTCATCATTTTACACCTTATTTTCTTCTTTGAGGATACTCAACCCCCAATATGGTACTATTCCAAGTCAAGTTCGTATTCCGCGAGGCCAAAACAACCAGATTGGGAGGATGATGTCTTCCTTCTTGGTGATGGAAGGCAGATATTACTGGGTAAGACC